AATTTGATTTTAATCTTATTATTCTTGAAAAACAATTACAGGTTTTGAATCTGGAGCCTCATTCACGCCACCTCGCATTGAACCTTGGTCTATCATTGGGAATAATTCTTCTGTGATCGTATCAACGGATCTTTCCTCATGCTTTGATCGGAATAAAGTTGCCTTGAAGGTTGAGGTTCTCTGTGACAATGGAGGTGCCAATATATGTCCAGATGGAGGAGTTGGTGTCTACAATCCAGGATTCTGGGGCATGGTATCTTACAGAACTTTTAAAAATCTGACTGTCATTAGGCTCCAGTAATTCTATGTTTATATACTCATGTTGTCCCTATTCTATGCTTTCCTGCAGAATATTGAACACGGAAAGAGCTATAAGCTGGTGTTTTATGTGCGTTCAGACGAAACACTTAATCTATCAGTAGCTTTAACCAGTTTAAATGGACTAAACAAGCTGGCGACAAAAACTGTAGTGTAAGTTTCATATGCATATATGTAGTTGTCTATGTTTTCCAATTTCTCTTGCCAATGTTTATACGAAGTTTGCATCTTACTTACAGGTTATTTTTATTGTTCTTACAGAGCTAATAATGTATCGAATTGGACAAGAGTTTTTGTTTTGTTGGAAGCTGAAGGAACAGATTCCAATTCAAGACTGGAACTGAGATCAACTACAAAGGGTGTTATATGGTTTGATCAAGTATCATTGATGCCCTTGGACACGTACAACGTATGTATGGTGGAAAGAAGTAGTTGTCAACTAAACAAATTTACAAATTATTGCAATTATTAGTTAATCTTGTTGTTGGCTATATATATCATTACTAAATTGTTTCTTCTATGTCAACGAACATTATGTGTTCAGTTATTTTCATTCTTGTTCATTTTTTTCACTATTGGATGAGCACTCAGTGGATGTATTTGTGTCATAATATTTAACTTCTTGGTGCAGGGGAATGGCTTCCGGAAAGACCTTTTCGGAATGCTTAAAGCTTTGAAACCAGCATTCATCAGATTTCCAGGTATTCCTGAAATTCAACCTGTCTGTGTCACGTAACATTACCAGTTGATGGAGCAATGCATTATATTTATAATAGAATCGGACTTAATATCTTATACCGGCAAAAAAGTTTAGTTTTTCCCATTCATAATGTTATTCTGCAGATGAATCAATGCGGATGCAAGCCTGAAAGAGCATCTGTCGTATATAATTTAGCAAGCTCTTACAAAGATGGATTTGCAAATAGGAAATGTCAGTGATTAATGTCAATTTTCCACAAGTCCTCGAGTAGACTAATTCATTAGCTTCTGAAGTTGTTCATAGTTTATATCATATTTCTGGTTCAACTTCTATCTAATGTGGTATCACAACTCACAAGTAATATCATCTGAGTTCAACTTCTGTTTTCTCAGCATTCTCCTCCTCAAGGTGTCATGATGACGAGATTAACAAAAAGCATGGAATTCAGATTTCATTTCTCCCTTCTTATGTTTTTCGTTGTTCTGCTTTTTGAAAGTATCGTAGCCCTTCTTTTTGATCTTTTAAGTTCTGCGACAGTTAGATCACTTATTTTAGTTTCGCTCATGTGCTTCTGTGTAGTTCTCCCCTGTCTATATGTATGGATAGTCTCCCATTTGAGCATCTTTGATGATCTGTCCAATGTGGATAAATTTGTCATTAATTATACATGTCTGTAGGGGGATGTTTTGTGGAAGGGGAACGGTTAAAAAATGCATTTTGGTGGAACAAAACAATTGGACCATGGGAAAATAGGCCTGGCCATTACGGTGATGTGTGGGGGTATTGGACTGACGACGGACTTGGTCATTTTGAGTTTCTTCAAGTAAAATTCTTTCCCTCTCCTGAATTTTGATGTAAATGGACTTCTAAACCTGGCCAAGCCTCTTAACATGAATACTGTGTGCTTATGCATGTCCCTTACTCGAGTCCTTTCTTGCTGCAGCTTGCCGAGGACTTGGGTGCATTGCCAATCTGGGTTTTCAACAGCGGTATGTCCTCCTCTTCTTTCTAAGATGCATTATTTTTTTTAAAAAATTAGTCTGTGTTCTCTTCATGCAGTTCATTAGCTTTTTCTATACGACTATTATTCTCAGGAATCAGCCACAAAGAACAAGTTGACACTTCCGATATCTTACCTTACGTGCAAGTAGGTCTCCTGAACTTTCTCCTGCGTACACATGACATGGACATTACTTGTTAAATATGATTGAGAATTAAAACAGCTCTGAAGATCAATTTGATAGTCAATATTTTGGACATACAACTTATCCAGACACTCATTTCACTAAAATATAGAGGCATATCCGTAGGTACAACACTTTCTAAACACAATCTTCCTTCTTATCAGCCATGCAATCTCTGTTTCTTTTTAAATTCTACAAGACGTATGCTATAGACGTTAAAATCTTACCAGAAATTTGATGAAAACAATCCTTGGAATTGAAATGTTACATTACTTGGACTGTGGATGTTGCATATTAAGCTTTCTTTTTAGGTTTATAAGCATATTTGTTGTCCCAGGATATCTTAGATGGTCTTGAATTTGCGAGAGGTGCTCCTAACTCAAAATGGGGTTCATTTCGAGCTGAAATGGGACATCTAGAGCCCTTTGATTTGAGATATGTCGCTATTGGAAATGAAGATTGTAGCTACTCAAAGTACCGTGGTATGCAGATCACATTTTGTTCTATGTTTCATTGAGTCATTATCTATAATATGCATGAAGAATAAAATAGCTTTGCAGCTGGGACATCCCTTTACATTTTTTATTTACAGTTGGACGGGCTTCGTAGCCTTCGATGAATTTTGAGGATTGATTCAAATCCTTGTATATAATATGTATGATTCAGGAAATTACCTCGAGTTCTATTCAGCAATCAAAGAAGCCTACCCAGATATCAAGATAATCTCCAACTGTGATGGTTCTTCCAAAGCATTGGATCACCCGGCTGATTTATATGATTTTCATGTAAGACTTTGATGTTGTTCAAAGTCTATCTTACAGAGCATGTACATTTGAGCTTTAACTTTGTTTACCTACGTTTTCAAGTGAGGTTTTAACTTTGTGATTTCTCTATGGTTAAGATTTATGCCAGTGCAAGTGACATGTGGTTTAACGCCAGCCGTTTTGATGATGCACTGCGCAGTGGACCGAAGGTGAGTTAAAATGTTCCTTTTGATGATTAATTTCCTGTTGTTGTAAATGGTGCTTATGTATACTGTTTATATTTATAGGCTTTTATAAGTGAGTATGCTGTGCATGGAAAAGGTGCTGGAAAAGGTAGTCTTTTAGCTGCACTGGCTGAAGCTGCATTCCTTATTGGAGCCGAAAAAAACAGGTACTTGTCATTTCTGAGAATATGTATCAAGCAACATATCTCGACATTATATGTTAAGGTAAAGATAATAAGGATAAAACTTCAAAGCGTGGAAAATTTATGGTGTGAACAGTGTGATCTCTTTGTTTGACGATAACCTGTATTTATCCTCGTGCAGTGATGTGATTGAAATGACAAGTTATGCACCTCTATTCGTTAACGACAAAGACTGGAAGTAAGTTTGATTTCTTCTTCTCCCTTTTCTTTGAAATTGGCTATCACTGCAAAATAATGTCATTTTGTTTAGATGGACTGCAGATGCGATTGTTTTCACTTCTTCACAGGCGTATGGAACCCCTAGTTATTGGATGCAACACTTTTTCATAGAGTCAAATGGCGCAACTTATCTAACTTCAACACTCCAAGCTAATCCTTCAAATGCACTAATAGCATCTGCCATCACCTGGCAAAATGAGACTGATAACAACAACTACTTAAGAATAAAGGTGTGAAGTTTTTCTTGATGTTTATCATTCGTGCCTCTCAAGACTTGCATTATCTAGACTAGATCCATACATCTCTGCGAAACTAATATTTCTCTTTGTATTAGAGGTTATAGTGCTCAGAATCATGAGGATTTGTCTTTTATGTTTCTTTAATAGATTCAATCTGTGTTCATACTTGCTACAGTCAACTGATGCTCATTTTGCAGATACACAACTTCGTCTCCATCTATAATTTCGTGACTAGTTCGTTTTTTTTTCTTTTCAACACGCGACTTGTTTTGCAGGTTGTGAACTTTGGGAGCAGCAGAGTTACTCTTAGTATCTCTATCAGTGGATTGTCATTGCAGTCCTCTGGGGCAACAAAAACTATATTAACATCTAGCAATGTGATGGATGAGAATTCTTTCACAGATCCTAAAAAGGTACATACAACTTCTTTATCTGATCATTTCGTTTTATTTGGTGTCTGCTTTCCTTGAAATAGTGTTATTTATGCAGATATCACCAGTTAAGACAAGGCTTGGAGAAATTAGCGAAAACATGGATGTTACACTCTTACCATATTCTTTCACTTCGTTTGATTTGTTAAGAAAATCCATCAGCATTAGGACTGTAACAACTGCTTCTGATCTTGAATCTTCATTCTAAAACTATGTAACTCACTGAAAATGCCAATAAAGAATAATATCACTTTCATTAGTTCTTATGGTTCTTTCGTTTTAGTAGTTTTTCCTGTTGCACTTCTAAGGCGTTTGTTATTGAACTTCTTCTGAAACAGTCTCCATCTCCGTCCTTTAACAGATTAAACGAAGAAAATGGGCAAATCTTTAGATGAATGATTAATAAGAAAATACTTTTAAGCTTCCTTTGCATTCCATCAATTCATATATTTAACTAATTTGAGTCCATACAACTGTTGCACTTCCACATATTCAGAACCTATTTTGCTTGTACTCAAAAGTGCACTAGTACTTTTCAAGGTTCTGATATGCACCTGTCAACATTTTTGAACAGTCCGAGCAACATAGCCCAGAACCAATGACATCAAAGAAGAGTGTTTTCACTTTGATAACCTCTAATGTAAACATCTGCAACCCCAGTGTTAACCTCCAGAAAAACTCGAGAAAGTGAGCAAAAGCAAACAAAGAAAAGTTCCAGTTAGCACAAAATCACAACTTGTTGATTGACAGTATATCTGTCTCAAAGTGTTCCTTCCATGTAAATATTTCAGAATCAACATTATATAAGGAATAACAAGAGCCTTCTCTAAGTATCAACTAAAACAAGTAGAGACTCTAATAGCACCAAATCTATACCATTAAACCCTTAGTTGTTTATTTACAAGTTGAAGACATTGATGTCAAGGTTACAAAAAGGTGAATTGTGTGGTAAAGACTACACATTCTTGTTCTTCTTCAACTTTGAAAGTGGCCATCTCCCCTTCTTCCTAAGGCGGCGCTTCCTGACAAGTTTCTTCCTTCGTAATCTGATGTTCTTTGCCAACTTCATTTTCATCTTCTGTTCAAGCTTCAGCTGAAGCTTAGACTCCAATGGCAGGTTATCAAAAGACAAACTTTCCTCATCACTCTCCAGATTATCAGAATCTCCGCTATCAATATCAGATGCTGCCTCAGCAATCAAAACACACCTCTCTTTTAAGATAAAGGGTGCTCGAATATAGTAACTGATATGTGACTTTGCTTGCAAAGCAATGGGATCGTTGCAAAACCTGGAGACTGATATATACAGAATCAATTATAAAGTTAACCTCTTATAAATAAAATGAACAGTCAAGATGTTGCAGATGCATGACGATGAAGATGGGAGTATTTCTTATAATGGTTTAAGACTGCCTCACTAGAAAAGGATGGACAAAAGGCAACAGCAATCACATAAAAAGATACATCAACCTTAAATTTTGCAGATTGTTAAGATGCAGGACATAAAAGATAGGTCTTGATCTGCTACCCCATTCTGCCACCCCGGGATGGATCGAGAGGCCTGGTTACAGGTTCATGTATATATGACTGTAAAGACGATTATTATTATAGTTTTAACTTGAGAATTGCGATCGATATTAGGAACTTTAACTTCAAATTTTGAATTTGTCTCTGCCCCAACAATTCAAAATACTAACATTTTTCAGATAAACAGTGGCGGATGCACCTTTGTGTCAGCAAATTCAGCCAGTACAACTGCTATTACATTTATATGGTGAAAAACTTTAAAACACTGTTACAAAGAGTATTAAGTACAATGGTAATCCCACCTAAACTGCTAGAACTCCTCAAAAAAAAAACCAATGGGCGTAGGGTGCATATCAAATTCTCCAAAAATAGTTTTTTTTTTGGAGAATCTAATGCGAGGGCTCCTACATTTTTGGGGAGTCCGAGCAGCATAGATCCCCAAAATCCAAATTGACAAGGTAGGGGATGATAAGAGGCTAACTCATTAGTATTCTAGTAAAGACCTAAATCAATTCATTCGAAGTTACAAACTTTACCAGGAAACAACTAAACTTAACAGAGCAAAAGAACATAATAGACCAATTCAGAACCTAAAGAAAGTAAATGCAAACTCCAATACAACACAACATAAAGCAAATGCAAACAGAAGAAAAACCCAGAATTTAGAATCCCACAATAATCTCTGTAGAAACATCTAGAACACAAGATTAATAACCCAGAATTTAGAATCCCACAATAATCTCTGTAGAAACATCTAGAACACAAGATTAATAGACATACAGAAAGGTCATTCAAATAATTAAACAAAGACACTAACATGAGTGAGCAAACACTGAAGAAGTTGAAGATGAATGACAAGAGAGACGAGTAGGGGGAGGAGTCATGATGGTGAACAGTAGAGCCATCTCTCCAGTTTTGGGGTTTCTTTTCTGCAAGTGCTAAGCCAGAAAGTGTCAAAAATGGTCTTCATAGAGATACAATTTGACCTTTTTTTTGCCCTATTTAAAAATTGGGTTTTCGAGTTTGCATATAAAAAAAAATTACTTCTTTTTCTCTGCACCGGCCACATCGTGTGACAGAGAAATGACAACTTTACAACTCCGGTGGAAGAAGCCGGTGAATATATCATCAAGCACTCCACTTTCATTTGGCCCTTTCAATTCCACAACTCAAATCCGGTGGAAGAAACCGGCAAACACTGCCCAAACCCGCTTGGAAAACCGGACCCGCGACCCGAATTTCGACAAACTCACAGCACACTACCGGAGACTCAAGCTTATCCTCAACCTCTACGACGTCGTATCTGCAAGAAAACGCGGTCCTTTTCTCTCAGTTCAGTCACTCTCCAAATGGGCCCCACATGCCGGCATCAACACCATTACCGCCGGTGATCTTCTCCGGAAATACCCCCATATTTTCGAGGTATTTACACACCCCATTAAGCGAAATTTGTGCTGCAAGTTTAGGGAGAAATTCGTCATTTTGCTGAATCAAGAAGATGATGTTGTATCACAAAATGAAGATGAAAATGTAATGATAATAACGAAAATTTTAATGATGTCTGTGAATGGGACAATACATTTGCATGCTCTTAGATTGTTGAGGACTGAATTGGGTTTACCTGAAAACTTCCGGGACTCGATAATAATCAAGTATGATGAAGTTTTTAGGATGGTAGATTTAGAGGTTGTTGAATTAATTGATAGAAATGACAAAGATGAGAGTTTTGGGGTGGCAAAGATTGAATCTTGGAGGAAAAAGGAGTATTCTGAGAAATGGTTGAGTGAATTTGAGGTCAAATATGCATTTCCTATTCATTTCCCTACTGGATTTAAGGTAGAACCAGGTTCTAGGGAGAAGTTGAAAAATTGGCAAAGGCTTCCTTATGTTAAGCCTTACGAAAGAGAACTCACATATCACTTGAATCCGCTAACAACTGAAACCATGGGGCCATCTTCAAGATGTGATGAGTTAACATCGAGGTCAGCAGTTGTTGGGAAGCGTACTTTTGGAGGTGTTGAGCGGTATGAGAAGCGAGCTGTGGCGATTATTCATGAAGTTTTGAGCTTGACTGTCGAGAAGTCAGTGCCAGTTGAAAGGTTGGCACATTTTAAGAAAGACCTCGGTATTGTAGTTAATATTCGCGAGTTGTTATTGAAGCATCCTGGGATATTTTACATATCCACTAAAGGAATTGCTGAGATTGTTTTTCTTAGAGAAGCATATAGTAAAGGGTGTTTGATTGAGCCGAACCCAATTTATGATTTGAGAAGAAATATGTTGGATCTTCTCTTGTTAGGAAACCGTCATACGAGTGAATTGAAAACTGAAAGAGAACTGAAGAATGAACCTAAAGACATGACAGACGATGAAAATGGATGGGAAAGCAGAGAGGGTGACTTTGTTATTCCAATTTTAGAGAGTTTTACTGATCACGAGGACAATGACAATATGAACTAGAATGATTACTTCTCTCTAAGGCAAAGCTGATGGCTTTCTGAGATGGAAATCAGCAAAGAGAGTGTTGGTATTGTAAGCTAGGATTTTCTGCAAACTGACAGAAAATTATGTATTTTGTGCTTCGCTGCTGTATTATACTTGCCAGGAACCTTTGCTATTTCAGTTAGTGCCTGTGCTTAAAGATTATAAATTCTTCCTTGTCTTCATTTATGTATAATCTCTAGCATTGTAGCTCTTCACGTTGTTCATATCATAAATGTATATTCCAGTTCTGTTTCTGCCAGATTTTGTTAATTTGCATTTTTACCTTCCAAGTCAATCTGTTAAATTGTGAATGGGAAAAGCTGGTATAATCATAGTGGTAAGCACCTACTGGCTAGCTTTAACAACATCATTATAATCCCATGTTCGTCTTGCTTTTTCTGAATTGGAACACTGTTATTTCTTATTTGGATTTGGTTCAACTGAGGAAGCGAAAATTTGTTGGAAGTGTGAGATGATAACTATTCATTGATGCTTGTGACTTGTATAATATAGGGATGATTGAAGATCCTTTTCAAATCCAAACACAACGGTGCAGAAACAACTGTAATGGCAATATGGAATAGAATGGTGTCAGGTATGATATTTTTGGAGTAATGCAGGTTTCTTTGTGTTGCTTCCAGTGAATGAGATTGGATTCTGTCATTGTCAATAGAATTTGTCCTCCTACTCAAGACTAGTTTCTGAATGCACCTTGAACGTGTACTTGCTGATTTTTGAACCAGATGTTTGAACCATATAATCATAGCTCAAAAGCAGAACTGAATCGATTGGACTTCTCAACCACTGCAAAGTTCTGGCCATGTGAAGACTCGTTGACATATGGTATCTTCAGTGCAGCAAAAGTGGTTCCATTTTACAACAAAACAAGCATAGAACTAGATTTGTTTTGCTGCAGCATTGAGCTGGCTATGGGTATCCAGTGGATTTTGCTTCCTTTCCCTACAAATTACCATAGAAAGGAGCAAATATGCTCAACTTCTTTAGATCTTGGTACCACCTGCACAAATTGCTTGAGTATCAACCAACAGTTTCAAACACTTCATAAGATTGATGACATATAATAGTTAGAAATTATGGTTCTAAATCCATCTCAATCTTTCGATCATTCATCGAAAGGATACACATAGATTGTGAATTTGACCAATTGAGATATCAGGAAATAATATTCTTAATTTCTTTATTCGAAATTGAAGCTTTGGGCATAGAGTGGAGCGAGCTCAGGGAGAGGAGTAACATTAAGCCCAAAATAGAGTTTCAATTCAAATTCCTACTCAACACGGTGCCTCAAAGGAGAATCCAAAGCTGGTTACTAGCAGAGGTAGCACAACAAAGAGCAAACCAGAACATTCACAAACAAATGGCGTAAGCAGAAGGGAAGGCAGGCGCAACGGTTAGCGAGTGCTCAAGGAGTGATCATCTCTTTTTTCCCTTATTATGATAAGAAAAGAGACAATATGCCAGTCAATATTGAAGCTTTCACTTTTGGTAGTTGTTAAGCAAGTCTGCACCTATATAGTAAGCATACGTTAAGGCGAGTTGATGAGCTAATAAAGCTAGCTTACTTTTCATATGTATATATGTAGGGAATGTGGTGTTAAACAATATATATGTATACACGTTTTAGTTAAAAAAAGTAATGCAATGAATCAAATAGGAATTAGAATGCACCTTTATGACTAAATGTCCTATGTTATATAAAATGGCATGGAAGAAGTGCCAAAGGTCATAAATTGGCTCATATATGTTGTTTGTTAATAATTCAGGTTTAATATAAGGAGACTACATAAATGAACCATAAAATTCAAAAATAATTATAAGTTTTCTCAAATTCAAAGTAACTTTTGAAAATTCATTCTCTTACAAATAATTACTTATAAATAATTACAGTTTATACTCCTCATTTATTGACGCTGATAACTTTCACCCTTAAATATGTTCGTTATTAAAGTGACTCCGTATATTTATTGAACCTCAAATCTGGTCAAATATGCTCCTATTAAGCCTCCGTTAATAGTGTAGATTTGTACAATAAAAACAAAAAAACTCATTTCTTCAACTAAAGTGTCCAAACAAACACCACTAATTAATTAGTGGCGAAACTTGATGAACTAAAACCTGGCGGGGTGAAAGTATTACATTTCAGAAATTAGAGGGAGTTGAAACAATTTACAAGTTATTCGCGACTATAAAAGGAGTTAAATTCTACAGATCACCAAAACTAGGGTTTGTGATATTCGTCGTTGAAAATTGGGCGCAATGGGAGAAGTCGGAGAAGAGAAAAGAGAAGTAGTATTTAGAGACATTAGAAGATATTACTGTGAATTTTGTGGCCTTTGCCGTTCGAAGAAATCCCTAATTTCCTCTCATATTCAGTCTCATCACCAAGTACGTTTTTTTTCTATGTATTTTCGTTTTTTCTGCATTCATTTTTGTCTATTTGTTATCTGAGCTGTTTCGTATAGATCTACTATCGTGGTTGTTTTTTCTGAGGTGGTTTTTAGGGTAAAATTGATAATTAGTAATTATTAGTTTCATTAGCCGAAGCTCAAAGACGATAAGAGTTTGTTTAATGGTATATGATCTAATTTGTTTGGATTTTAATGTTAAAACTAGTGTAATTGTTGTTTTAGGAGCTTTTATTGTTCATATTATCAAAAATTTATCGTGGTTGAGCTTAAATTGTGTGTTTGGCTCTAGGTACTGATTTGATTAGTTAAGAGGAAAGTAATGCTGACATGTTTGTTGTTTTTACTAATAGGATGTAATTGAGAGCCTGAAAGATGACGCAACTGAAAATGCTAAGGGCTCAAAAATGAATATTTGCGAGGAATGTGGTGCGACTTTTCAGAAGCCTGCTCATTTGAAGCAGCATTTGCAAAGTCATTCACTCGAGGTATGTTTTGTTGTTGCACATTCTTTTTTTTTTTTTGTTTTGCAGGTCTTGGTTTACTAGTTATATTTTCTGATTTATTGTCTATGGATGCATTTAATACTAATGACTTTGCAGATTGAGATATTTTGAGAAACATTGTGGAATTATGTGAAGGTGTGACGCATTGGATCCCAAATAAAGAACTCCAAAATGCAAGAGGCAGGTATATTTCCTTGACTGGATTAGTATCAGGAAGGGGGACCTCCTGAGAAGCTCCATCAAGTGAGCCTCAATCACGCCTTATAATCTTTGTGGTTTGAGACTCTTCCCAGTTCCCCTCCTCCCAAGATACAAAAAGAGAGCTTTTACATTTTTCTCCATTAGCATAAGTGCACTTGGGTCTAGGACCCTGTTGATTGGAACTTTCTTAAGATATTCTCTTGTTGATATTTTGCATGAACAGAGGCCATTCGTATGTCATATAGATGACTGCCAGTCTAGCTACCGTAGAAAGGATCACTTGTCGAGACATCTCTTGCTGCACCAAGGGAAGTTGTTTGAATGTCCTGTTGATGGGTGCAAAAGCACATTCAGTTTTCAAGGCAACATGACTCGGCATGTCAAAGAGATGCATGACCAACCTGCCTCTGCAGAGGTTGATCTTCCAAAGGAATATGTCTGCTCTGAAGCTGGATGTGGAAAGGTGTTCAAATATGCATCCAAATTAAGGAAACATGAAGACTCTCATGGCAAGTCAAATTTAAAAAAATCTAATTTGCTGTGAAGTATTGATATTTCTTACTTTTCTAGTATTGAAGACACTTCCTATAAGCTGACTATAACTTGCCATTGTATCACTGCAGTTAAGCTGGAGACTGTTGAGGCTATGTGTTTAGAGCCAGGGTGTATGAAACACTTCACAAACGAGAAATGCCTCAAGGAACACATAGAGAGTTGCCACCAACATATTGATTGTGAAATATGTGGGACCAAACAATTGAAGAAGAATATTAAGCGGCATCTTCGCACACATGAAGAAGGGCCTATATCAGAGAGAATAAAATGTGAATTCCAGGATTGCCTGCACACCTTCTCCTCAGTAAGGACTATTACATTTTCTTGTATGTAGTTGAAGTTTCCGTCTGTCATATGGAACAGTAGTGTAATCAATCTAGAAGCAATGGGCTAATTCATTACTAGGAGAAATATATAGACAGTTAACCTTAACCAAAGCCATCTCTTTTCAAGTTGTTGAGCAACCGTATTAACCTTTATTTGTTGCTTGAAAATACAGAGGTCAAACCTTGCTCAACACATCAAAGCCGTGCACGTGGGATCTAAACCATTCTCATGTAGCATATCTGGTTGTGGTATGAAATTTGCCTTCAAGCATGTGAGAGATAAACATGAACAATCAGGCTGCCATGTTTATACTCCTGTAAGTAGAATGTATACTTGAATGCACATTATGTTCATTCAGATCAGTTTGCTTTGTAATATTCATAATTGACTTGAGGTGTTTTGGTTGTGGTCTATAGGGAGATTTTGAAGAGGTCGATGAGCAATTCCTATCTAGACCAAGAGGCGGTAGAAAGAGAGAACCTACTCTTTTCGAGTCAATTATGCGGAAAAGAATTACACCGCCCAGTGGTATAGATCCTGTGTTCAATCAGACACCAGAATATCTCTCATGGTTACGCTCCATGGAATCGGATAATCAAATGTGAGTCATCTATTTGGCCAGATGTTGGGTTGAAGTCTCAATAGTTCCTCTCAGTAGAATCAGGGTTAGACTCTTGAGTGTCTCCTGGGCAGCATCTTGGAAGATCTCGTGTTGTATATGCTGTCCATAATTTGAATCTAGCACACTACATGTTATATAATATAGTTGAGAAGTGTTATCGTAACAGGCGTTGCCTTCCTAAATCTCCTTGTACCTATTTCGTTTATACCGTAGTCCGACTGAAGCACTCTACTAAAACGTGCCGCGAGTATTTTTTCATCGTAGCCAAACAAAGAAATCATCAAGGTAAATGAACTGAATTTTTTCTCTTCAACTCTTTAACCAACCAATATGATCAATTCTTTGCTAAAGCCCGATTTGATCTTAAGCTAGACATTGTTACTCTCCTATAAATCTAGAGTTTGCAATATAATTAATTATATTCCCAACTGCAAGCAAACTTGACTATAGAAAACCATGTTTTAAAATATTATGCAATGCATATAACAGTTGAAAGGATCACTTGAGAAAGGCATAATTTTTCTTTTGGGCCTTAAATTAAACCATTGGATTTTACTCTGTGGCCCAAAAAAATTGTCGTAGTGCCTAGAAGGAAACTTTTAGAAGTTTCTAATTAGCTTAGTTGCTTGAAAAAAGAGAGTGAAGATAAGAAAAGCATTGGTGTTGTGTTATCAAATATGAGGTGTATATTGTCCATATCACTATCTGTGGATAAGAGAACAATCTAAAATGCCACATTCTTATTGGTTCTCTCATTTATAATCACTTTGAGTCTATCTTCTTTTTATATACATTTAACCAACCATTACCAATCCAACAAAAAAGAAAAGGAAAAAAATGGCAGCCACCATAGCTACCATGGCCGTCCTCAACGCCAAATGCTTCACCAAAGCATCTATTAACAACCCATCAAAGCCAAAACCCATCTCTCTTCTCTCCATCCACAACCTCCCCAAAGGTCTCTTAACTTCAAAGCCCTCAAATTTATCCATCCCACTCACTGGAACCGCAATTGCAGGTGCCGTTTTCTCTACCCTAAGCTCATGTGACTCCGCATTTGCAGCTCAACAAATCGCAGAATTAGCTGAAGGAGGAGATAACAGGGGATTAGCACTGTTGCTACCATTGATCCCGGCTCTAGCCTGGGTTCTTTACAACATTCTTCAACCAGCACTAAACCAAATCAACAAAATGAGGAATCAAGGAGTTATAATCGGGCTTGGTCTTACAGGGCTTGCAGCAACAGGCTTCTTTAACACTCCAGAAGCCTCTGCTGCTACCGATATCGCCACGATTGCAGAATCAGCAAGTGATAACAGGGGACAACTTTTGCTGATTGTTGTAACACCTGCTTTGCTTTGGGTAGCTTACAACATTCTACAACCAGCTTTGAATCAGATTAATAAGATGAGATCAGATTGAGGATCATCATAGTTTGTAATATTTGGTCCATATAAAAAATTTTATCAATCAATCAATCTCTCTCTTTTCCTTTGTGTTTTGATTTGAGTATTTTGTTGTTTGTACATAGCTCACTCAATCTGATCTATCGGATCTTAGTACGCGTTTGGCCATGTGATTTCAAATCAGCCTTTCTTTATGAAATCTGGTTTGTGTTCATTAAAAGCTAAAAGGATACATAACAACACAGGTATGAAGTTTACCAATACTGGCTAAACTTCATATAGATTTTTTTAAAATTGATATTAACATTAAGAATGCAGCATCATTGACACATGGTTTGATATGGAATTGAGTTTGCTGACTCGTAGCGGTCGTTTGGTTGGGAACTAGGATAAGTTGTTATTCTGAAATGATTTATTCGTTCACTATGTTATAAATGGTGAGATAAGTTATCCTAAACATGTTAATCAAACAAAACATTTAGATTTCATTCTAAAATTATTTATGTTTATCCTTCACACCAAACAAGCCCTTAAAGTAAGAGCATAAGTTGGATAAGTGATTTCATCTGCCTATTTCCCCTACCACCATGCCCTCTCTACGACTCCTCTCTATTATCTGCTACTATTTACTTGGATATAGGTGATGGATTATTTATTTGTCTAATTTCTTTAAAGAATTATTTTTTTAATTCATTAATTTTATCATATCGAGATATAATAAATAATTTTTCATTTTATATTCAATATTTATTGAGTTGAGAAAGAAAGACGTAAAATGCATTCAACGAATGCGATTTATGTGTAATTTTAGATCTCTTGCTATTTATTATTTAAATTACGTTATTATCCCTTCTGTTAATAAATGTTTAAAATACATTCAACGAATGCGATTTACCGATAAATTTAAGTCTCTTTCCATTTATTGAAATTACGATATTATTCCTTTCGTTCGATTTTATTTGTCTATAAATTTTTTAAATATATTTCTTACTTTTGTCATATGGATAAAAGATAATTATTTTTTCATTTTATACTCAACATTTATTGAGTTGAGCAAGAAAGACATAAAACACGTTAAAAAGGAATGCGATTTATGCGTAAGTTTTGGTCTCTTCTCATATATTGTTGAAATTACGTTATTATCTCTTATATTTAATTTTATTTATCCAATATTTTAAAAATATACTTATTACTTTTATTATATCAAGAAAAGATAATTATATATTCATTTTATACTCAACATTTATTGAAATGAGAAAGAAATGCATAAATTGCATTTAACGAATGCAATTTATGTGTATGTTTCAGTTTCTTTGATGAAATTATCTTATTACCCCTTTCGTTAATAAAGATATAAAACGTATTCAACGAATGCGATTTGTGTGTAAGTTTAAGTCTCTTCCCATTTATTGTCTAAATTACGTTATTACCTCTTTCATTAAATTTTATTTGTCTGCAATTTTTGACGTATATTTATTATTTTTATCATATCGAGATTTTTTTTTTCATTTTATACTCAACATTAATTGAAATGAAAAAGACAGGCATAAAATACATTCAACGAATGTGATTTATGTGTACGTCTAAGTTTTTTCTCATTTATGGATAAAATTATGTTATTACCCCTTCCGTAAGGAAAGACATAAAATGTATTCAACAAATGCAATTTATGTGTATGTTTCAGTCGTTCCTATTTACCGTTGAAATTACGTTATTACCCCCTTTTGTTTATTTTATTTGTCTATTCTGTTTAAAATATCTTTATTATTTTTATCATATCGAGAAAGATAATTATTTTTTATTTTATACTTAATATTAATTACGCTGGCTGAGAAAGAAAGACATAATAATGCGATTTATGTGTAAATTTCAGTTTTTTTCAATTTTTTGTTAAAATCACATTATCACTCCTTCCGTTTAATTTTATTTATCTAAATTTTTAAAAATATATTTATTTCTTTTATTTATTTTTATCGTATCGAAAAAAGATAATAATTTTTTCATGTATATCTCTTTTTTCTTGGATTCATTTGATCTCAACAAAGTCACCACAGACTACTATAACAAAAAAAATATATAAGGATGTATGGTAGACGCTTGAATTATTTCTATCATTATAGTATTTTCTATGTTGTATGACCATCGTACGATTCAATTTTAACATTTTCTTTGTTCGGATTTAATTGTGTCGTAGTTTTATAATTTGGCTTAAGTTTATCGTTTGATGCACTGTATTGTTGATATTGATCCCAAAAAAAAGGACGATAGGTACAACTAAGGCGTGAACTGCCAATCATCATACTGTAAAAATTGGGTAGGTTCCATCTATAGTCGTCGTTAGGAAATCCTAAAACGATCTACTAAATTCATCGAATTTTTTCAAAGGATCAAAACGGTCAGTTATTAATGGAATTCCTTTCAAGTTTTACTGTAGAATTTGCAAAATAGGGCTTTTATTGCAACAGCAATATTACAAGTAGAAGCAGATTTTTGCAGCAAAGATATGTAAACAAGCTTCTTTTACAAAGCCTGTGAAATATTTTCTCAGCATATTCCTTCTCAAATAATGATACTAATTAACTTTGTCATTGGACACATAATCTTTAATTTTAAGACTAATATAGTTACTAATATACACTAACACATTCTTCAAAGCATACCTAAGTAGATTATAGTCAACATTATAAGCAGAGGGGAGTCAGGATTTTCAATAAAAAGGTTCAAAATCTGTAGAAATAGATAGCTGAAGAGGGTTCGATATCTACTATATATACATATAAATTTATTTTAACCATTTATAAATAATATAATTTTCCGCTGAATCATACAAGGTAGCTCCGCCCCTGATCCTTTCCATCAAAGGCTGCAAGTTGCACAAGTGATGACTTAGTCGTGTTCTAGTATAGATATCGAAATGTATCAATTCAATACACTAATTTAAACCTATTTAAACATTTGGTTGCAGTATGTTTTTTTTTTAATATTGTTTTCTAATTTATGTTTTTTGAGAATATTTTGTTTTTTAGATATACAAAGATATTTTTAAAAATGAATGGAAAAAAAAGTATCCATTTCTACAACTAGCTAGTAATGGACTGTTTTAACTAGTTTATAAAAATAAGTTTTTTAATTTTTTGATGATAATTATTATTTTTTTATATTAAGTTGTTTTAATTAACTTTTAAAATAATAATTATAGTTTTTTATGGTGCACTTTTTTCTTTTCCTATTTAGATAGATATTTCTACATTCCATTTTGTTGGACCATTCCCTAAAATCACTGAAAGTGTGATAAATATAAATAGACATTACAATTTTTTTATAAAATAATTCAATTTTCAATTTTCATTTTTAACCTTAAAAATTCAAATTTGAAACATTTAAAGATCCTTTCATTTTTTCCCCTTGTAATAGCCATTACTGTTTTTATATATTAAAAAAAATAGTTCAATTTTATTTTTTCTTTAAAATTTAAATTAGAGGCATTTAAAAATCATCCATTTTTTTTTATCGTTACTAGGTAGTTGTAGAAATGAAATACTTTTTTTTCATTCATTTTTAAATTTTATCTTTGTATATCTAAAAAAATAAAACATTTCCAAAAAACATACATAGAAAATAATACTTTTTTAAAAAAAACATATTGCAACCTAATGTTTAAATAAGTATAAAGCATATTTTTTTAAATAATAAAAAAATAAAAAATGTGACATGACTTTGATAAAAATAAACAAAATTAAACAATATTATAATCATTAAATAAATATAAATTATACTCCTAAATAATTTTTCAAATATGGATGAATATTTAGAGAATTTACTCGATTTATTGCATAATAACTAACACAAAGCAAACAAAAATATGCAATTATTGGACGGCAACTATTTAAAATTACAAAAACCGTCCAATAAAAACGAGCTAAAAAATTAAATTTTAAATGATGTCATTCGAACGCAATTATACCCTATGCATGGCGTCATTGCTGGGGCCCTTTAAATTTTTACCATTTTTTTTTATTTTTTCAAAAAGTTCATTTTTTTTTTGAATTTAACCTTCTAGAAAAGTTGTATTTAGTCCTATATAATAATAATATAATTTAATCATATTTAGATCTATCTAATCTATGGTGGGATCTCTTTTTTATCTAATCTTTTTTGCTTTTTTAGCTCATACTAATATATGATTTATTTGTTATTATCAACACCTTGAAGGGTTTACTTTTATATATATATATATATATGATTATTTGACTATTCTTACCTAATTTTCTTGTATGTTCCCTTAATTGTGACCACCCATTTATATTTCATTGTTATTGTCTTTAATTTAATAAGTCAACTGAATGACACGTTACTTCGTTTCTTTTAATTTATACGCGATATGTTATTAAGCATAAAATTTTAAAAAAAGATTTATTTTTAAATATTTTTAACGATAATATAATCGTTATTTTAAATGGATTATTATTAGGGATAATTGTATATAATAGCAAACTAATAACCTAAAATAAATGGAGTAGTTACAGTTTGATTTAATTGTGCCTTATAGCAAACGTTAACCAAAGTTTGCCAGTCGTCTCTCTCCCAAAAATCTCGCTCGCCACTGTCCCTCTGCTCGCCTCTCTCGCTATATACCAAGAAGTGTATAAATTGTGTTTCTGTGTTTGTATAAAGCGAGAGAAAATTGTATATACACATGCAAAAACATATATCTTCGTGTTATACACTTGATTATACAATTTACAGACATTTTTACTTCAATTCAATTGTAGACAAATGCAAATTTTATACAAAAATAGCAGCGAAAAAGGCAAACGAATTATACAATCGCGAATTATACAATTGCAGCGAAATACAATTTTCTCTCGCTTTATACAACAAAAGCGTATAAATTGTGTTTCTATTTTTGTATAAAGCGAGAGAAAAACATATATCTTCTTTCTATACACTTATAATTATTCAATATACATATATTTTACTTCGATTCAATTGTATGCAAAGCAAATTTTATACAAATATTGCAACGAAATAGACAGTGAATTATACAATTGTGCATTATACAATTGCAATGAAATAGGATAGCAAATTATACAATTGCAGCGAAATAGGATAGCGAATTATACAATTATATATGTATATCAAATTATACAATCTTTATGTTTATTATGGAGCGCAATTATACAAACTTTGCTATAACATACTAATATAAATTTTTTATTTGCTATGTATGAAAGTTGCCATAGTGAAATATATAAGATTGTATTTATATGCTATCACAAATATTTATATAATGATATTTGATGACTTTTTTGGGCTGCCCCCTTTGCCCTCAACATTTGTAAAATTCTTAGGCAGTAATCAATGACTACACATATGGAAAAGTCAGTTTATGTGACTTTTTAAGTGGAAGATACATTTTGTTTAATCACTTAATTGAGTAAATTAAAGTGACTAAACCAAGCACTATGATTAAAGTAATTTAAACTCATCCATCCTAATCAAAATCCAAGCACTAATACACGATTAACTCACTTGCATCATTTTAACTTTTTTAGTTTAGCACTCTTATCGATCATCATATCATATCAATATATTTTTATTCGTATGAAGAGACGATAAAATGTAAGCATATTTTACTTATATTAATATGAGCAGAACGACTATTTTCGATGAATCATCGAATTTAAATAATGCTTAAAGTATATAATTATTTTCTTCGTATATTTTTGTTTGTTATATTACACTTTTGAAAAGTCAATTTGATTCATTTTAAAAATAAAATTAGACTTATATTAATTTAATATTTTAAATAAAAGAAATTAAATATTCAAAAACTATACAATAAGTACTATATATTGTATTTTTTTGCATATGAATATGATGAAAAATATATTATAAGAAATTAATTAAAAATTTTATAATTTGATTATAAAAAGAAAATTATAATAATTAAACGAAGATGGTATAAAATTTTACTGCTCACATATGTTAATAAATTAAAGTGCTTTAGTAATTAATTGGAGTTCCAATAAAAGGAAAAAGAAAGTTACTAAGATCTTATCTCCACTAATCACCTTTTGATCGAATTAGCAAATTTCTTTTTTATTTTTAAAAGTTTTTATCTAATTAAACAATAGTAAATTTTACTTTTTTTTTTCTTTTATTTATAAGTAATCTACATATAAATTTTAAAAATTAAAAAGTCAAATTAAATTATTGATTTTTCAATTTTTTAGTTCAATATTAATGTTGAATTTTCAAAAGTTTAATTTTTCAATCCGATACTTGACATAAATGTCTCAAAAATTTAATACAAAATCAAATTGAAGAAATTTTGATTAAATTTAAATTTGATAATAATTTATTCATTCCGGTGATGCTTCTAAAGAAATTTTTATCGATACAGTAAAAATAAAATGTTAAACCCAAAATTATCGTTAGAGTGATTCCTGTACGTACAGATATGCTGACACGTGTCCCCACAAAACGCGGTTTCTTCCTTTCTACTCTAATCTTCCTCCTCCTTATATACTTCCCTCTCCATTCATACTTCACTACTCTGAAACAGAGGATGCAATCCAACACATTTTATTTCTCTAAAAATTGAATCTTTTTAGCTTTAAATCTCCAATTCCTGTACGAAAAATGGCTTCTTCTGACAATTTAATGACCATGGAGCCATGGGCTTTCCGTTCTGCTTTTGCTGATTCTTGGTTTTCTGACGTATACACCAGAGAAACTGAAACATTAACCAAAGTCCTCCAAAAATCTGCCTTCCCGGAACCGGAGATGAACCCGGTTCAAACTTCGACCGGAACCAATTCCGGTGGGTCGGAGAATGAGACGACCGGTGTTTCGAATCGGAGGAGCAATAAAGTCCGAGTGAACGGGAAGATAACTAAGAGGAAGTCACGTGCTTTAAGGCGTAATACGACGACGTATATAACTGCTGACGTGGATAATTTCCGTGAAATGGTGCAGCAGGTGACCGGAGTTAGATTCGGCGGCGACGGGCAGTTGCCGGTTGCTCATGTTCTGAAACCTGAACCCCAGCGTGTTGTCAACCGGCTACAGCCTGGTTGTTTTTTGCCTACACTTGACACGTCAGCTTTTTTACTCGAACAGTCAGCGGAACCCATGCCGGCGCAGCCGCAGACGGCGGCGGATGTGGTGGTTGATGGTGGCTCGTGTGGATTTGATTGTAGCTCTTTTTCTGCCTTTCCTACCCTTGAATCATTCATGGAAAACAGCAATGTAGTTTAATGTAACAGACCCTTTTCTGTAATTTCACTTGGAAGGTGTAGATTTTTGGACAAGTAGTAGAAAGGGTAAAATGGGAAAATTAAAATTCTGTTCATAGTTTTAGTTTTAATTTTAGCTAATCTAGTATATTATTATTTTTCCTTTTTTTTTCTTCAAGTAAATGAGAATATGAAAGGATATGAGTTGTCATATCCTTTCATTTTCAATGTTTCAATTGAAATCTCAAAATTAATTCTAATTATCTTTTTAAGAATTTTCGTATTTTTAGATTAATAATTGTATAAATTAATCAATGACATTGTATATACAGATTGATTTGATCATAAGACTTCACAAGTGCATCGATATCAACATAGGTCAATACTTTCACTTTCAAATATCAATTATACCACTTGTAATTTCATAAATGATTGTGAGACTTCATAATTGCATCGATACCAACATAGGTCAATACTATCATTTGTCAAATATAGATTGTACCACTCGTAATTTCATAAGTACATCGATACCAACTTAAGTCGATACTTCCACTTGTCAAATATCAATTGTACCGCTTGTAATGCTCGAATTTTAACAACATACATTTGTAGGTATGTTAATCAAGTTACGTATAAGATAGATGGATAACATACTTACTTGCCTACCTACTAACAAGTAACAACTACTACTACTCTTTAATGAACAAACACATCTCCTAACTAATTTCTACTAATTACAAAGTTTTATGAGTAGCGATAACTATCATACTATTCAAATTTTAACTTTTGCTACATCTTCCAACTATCTCATCATTATTTTATATGCAATACTGTTTGAAGAAGCTGATTGTAATGTTGTAATGGCCAAAAGGTCAATTTCGATAAGAGCCAGTGCTTCCTCTCGAACAGAGCTCCTCGCAGAAATTTCAGATCATTGAAGAGGAATCAAAAATTCAAAAACACGTAATCCGTTATATGACAATTTACATATCTATAAAAATATATATCATAATAACGAATCAAATAAAAAAGGACAAGAAATTGCTAGAGCAAATACTACTATAACTAGATGAATATAATGTTAAATTACGTACACAAAATTCAAATTCTTGAAAAGTAAAATTTCTTCTATTTTTTAATACAAAAAGGTCCCACTAAATGCTATTTAGATGCAGACAACAAAACGCGTTAGCCCCATCTGATCATCTGATCATCATAAAACTTTTACATTTTCCCATACAAAACAATAATACTATATACTATATGATATTTAATCAATTTATTATTATTAATAATATATAATGTACCTCCACTGGACATACTTCATATTTAAGTCTTATTTCAATTTAGAATAGTTTAATCTTAATCTTAATAATTAAGAAAGAAATATTTGGTGGAAATTCTTACTTAACCAAGTCAAAAATGTTACTGCAAAATGTAGAAGAAATAATACTACTTGACATGTTAGGTCTCTGCATAGGTTGACTTGAGTCTATTGCTTTGTGTTAATATAATGTCACTACTAATTTTTAATATATAGTTTAGATTAATATTTTAATTAATTTGTATACTATTTTCCTCTTCAAATTCTAGTAATACTGTCTAGAATTGTTAGACTTGGTCTAACACCAAGAAAGATCAATACCAATAAATGCAATCTTAAGAGTCAAAGTGACATAGGCATGAAGTGTTGTTGACACAACTTTAATATTACGTTAAAAAGGACATGAATTTAGAATTTGAACTTTAGCAAAAAATAAAGAAAGTTAATAGTACATCAATAATTTTCTTACTTTGTAAAGATATGAATGAAGTCTTTATATATATCTTTCCTTCGATTTTATAATTATTTATGAAATTATACTAAATATATTATCGTGTTTATAGAATATAGTCTGATACTCACAAATACATTAGGTCCTACATAAGTGGGGGGCGTTGTTGACCTATGACTTTTAGGCCCTACAAAAGTTAGCATAGTGGTGACGTGTCAATTTACATTAATTATCTTAGTCTATTTTTAAAACTTTTTTATTATTATTATATTGGTCTTTATCAATCACAATCCAATTATTAATTTGCTAGTTGTTAGTTTGAAATATTGCAACCAATGACATCAAGCTTATCAAAGCATGATGCTAATCTTTTTTCAATTCTTTTATGTTTATTTTTTTTTGAAAAGAATTAAAATCTTTTTAAAACTTGCTCAAAACCTATTTGTTCCCAAAAAAACATAGGTGTAAAGTAAAATCAGCATATTTTTTTTACCAAGTGCTACATAAATCATTATATTATATTGATATTTAAAATCTCTCCATATAAATTTGAATTGAGATAAAAAAAAGCAATTTTTAATAAGAAATATAATTCTATATTTAAGACTTAAATTTAGATTCATAAATAGAGATAATATGATATATTATTATTCAACTACATTCTTTGCTGATAATTTGTCTGCGTTATTGCGTTAATTTTATTTTTCGAAGTAACTCATAGATGAGAGCTTTTTTTTCACCAAAAAAACATAAATAAACATATTCTAACATATGAGCCTTTTTTAATTACTATAAAAAAGGGTGGAATGGTCTAGTAAACTCTTATACTTGTATATGTTTGTATTGTGAATCCTTGTATTTAACCTTTTACTAAGTAAACCCTTAAACTGAATCAAACAAATATTTTCAAATCGGCTCTTATCATGTGTGTAGTTCACTCGCCTTGAACAAGAAACAAAAATTTCAAATATAGCTTTCACATATATTTAAGGGTAACTTTCACATATATCAAACAAAAATTTCATATTTGTATGTTATAGCAAAGTTTGCATAATTACGCTCCATAACAAACATATAACTGTATAATTTGCTAATACATATATAACTGTATAATTTGTTGGTCTCGCTATAGATATACAATTGTATGATTCGCTGGTCTAAATTCTATAATTCGCTGGCCTATTTCGCCGCAATTGTATAATTCGTTGGCCTATTTCACTGCATAGCGAATTATACAGTTATATGTTTGTTATGGAGCGTAATTATGCAAACTTTGCTATAGCGAATTATACAATTTAGGCCAGCGAATTATATGTATAACGAATTATACAGTTTCTATGTTTGCTATGGAGCGCAATTATACAAACTTTGCTATAGCATATAAATATGAATTTTTTGTTTGCTATATGTGAAAATTGCCCAAAATTTAATCAATGTGGATAGCATAGCATTACTAACAACTAACTGATTAATTAATGAATTACAAAAAAGAAAAATGTCTCAATATGCAGTAATAACCATCTCAAAAACAAAAACTTGTTTAAATTTTACAATTCATCGTTTGATAAATGAGTTTATATAAGGTATCACAAACTCAATAACATATCATAAATTACAAAAAAATCGTTATTCTCTTTTTTTGGCAACACATGCATCACTTTTTGTCATATCAAAATCATTTTCATCTAAATATTTTTGATTAAATGTATAAGTGCCGATACCATTATATAATAATTATCATGATAAATTTGAATACATTAGTGGAGAGCTACATTAGAGTTTAATTATAGTTATCGTTAGCCTTTAGCTAAAGATAATTGTAGCATAATATACATCAAACATTTTATATTAACATGAGAGCTACTAGAATCTGCTTTAAGAGAATCGATGCATAGTTTATCATCAATGGTCTTTTTATAAATAACATCTATCAGATCTTCGGGGCACAAAAAAAGAAGAAGAGAAAGACGGAAAAAAAACACACTATCAATTTTCTCATGATTTTCATCTTTTTCTTTTTGTGTGAAGTGTGGTGTGATGAATGAACCATTTTATAATTCTTACAAATGAAGTATTCAAATTATGTTTTTTTGCATTTACAATGAGAATTTGTTGAGGAGTCATCTTCCGATGACTTTCATGCTCGTTCATTCAATAGGTTGACACAAGTTCAACCACAAAAATCAATCGGAAAATAGATTGCCAATTTTGGTAAATCGAAGACAGAAAAAAATAAATAAAAATTGCAAAAGAAAGAGGGAAAAAGAGGAAGGAAAAAGAAATTCAAGCATCGTCAGAATCAGATTCTGACTTTATTGACGAATTAGAAAATAAAAAATCAAAAGGTATTGAAATTGGTGGTCGACAAGAATGCCCTCAAAGAAGGAATCATAGTTACAACGCACAAAAAGTCAGTAAATAAGACTTTTAAATTTTGGTTAAAATATTATATGTATGTTAGTTTAATTTTTTATTTTATTTGGCAATCGTATAATGTATGAAATTTGTATGAGTTTTGTATGAATTGTTATTTTTGTGTTGTGTAGGTGCTTATTGATTATTTTAATTGACAATTTTTTATGTATGGAATAGTATATGAGTTATGTATTAATCGTGTATGAAGTGAATTTACAATGTTATATGCGAACACTTTTATTTTTTTTAAAATATAATATGTATTAATATTATTTGAATTATGTATGAACCGATGTATTTATTTTGTATGAATTGTGTATTAATTGTATTGTCTGTTCTTTAATATGACATTGTATCTATGATTTTTCTATGAAATTATATATTATATGAAGAGAAAAGACATAAAGAGACCATCGAAGTTGTCCCATATTTGCATAAAGACACCTAAACTTTTGAAGTGTCCTATCACACCACTAAACAACTATATATCGTTGTAAATTGGCCATTTTTAGTCATTCCATCTTCTTTTTATTGCGCGTGTTGCTCACGTAGAGAACCTAACCCGACCCTTTCTTTGAAAAAAATTCGTGAACTCCGTCCTTTCATTTCATTTCTCAAATTTTCCTTTTCCCTAAAAAATCAAACGAAATACATCATGTTCTTGTTGTTGACGATAGTGTTGTTGACATTCTCGTTGTTCATCATTGTCGATCGTTGTTGACGATAGTGTTGTTGTTGACATTCTCGTTGTGAAGATTCTTGGAGATTGAAGGTCTAACAGGTTAGGGTTCTAAAATCTGCACTTTTTTTTACGATTATTCTGATTTTATGGATTATTATAGTGTAGAATTGTTAGAATAGACCTCCTACAATTGCCATTATTAGGATATTTTTGAGTATGTTGGGTAATCGACTTAGTTAGTGTAGGGTATTGTGTTATTGACTTAATGCAACTGTTAGTGATTAGGGTTTTGTGATTGTGTTTTAGGTTAGGGTTAGATGTTATCCACTTAGTTCGAATGTTATTATTTGTCTCTTATTCATTTGTAGACTTCAATTTGTACAATAACAACTGCTTATGTTAG